TCCACCAGTCCCTTCATTTGCAGAATCTATCAGAGCTCTTGGTGCTTCAAAGAAACGGAAAAGTGTGACTACAACTCGCTGTCCCGACGCGCCCTTGCTGAAGCAGATAAAGAACGACCATATGCATCAAGTTCCCGTTTCTCAAGAACGGTTCGACAAGCTTGTGGAGACGTTTGTGGATGAGACGCTACAGTCATATACTAACAGTTAAACAAAAATTAACAATGAATTAATGTAAAAGTAACGCCCGTTAGTCCTGACGAGTAACGAAACTGGTATTTTGTTACATTTGCAAAATGGTAACGGAGCTCTGTAACGTGTCAGCTTTTTTCTAAGCTAACAAGTAGCACTATTTTCGTTACTTATTTTCGGTAACGTGCACAACACAGATTTTACGGTGATAGGCCTTACAGGCGATCTTTCGCAACAGTCCTGCAGCGCTTTTAGAGTACTTTTTACCACACTAAATTTTGTAGGAAAAATTATTTCACTAATGTTAACGAGAACCTCTATTCGGTCGATGAAATAATGATTTTCTCCGCTAAATTTTACGGGAATCTAATCTCACGTGACGTGATGGCGCCACGTAACGTCTCAAAGCCACGTGATGTCATGTCGTCACGTGACGACACAGTGTCGCATGAACGCTTTCTGTTGAATTTAGCGGGACGGATGTCCGCTGTGCAACAGTGCGCAGGGCATCGGCCGTCACAACAGTTCGTTTGTAGATCACAGCAAGAAATATAGAATTTTCCTCTTCGTTTTAGTCGCCAATTTCGCTTTAAGCTTACATTAGGCATAAAATAAATCAATAAAGGTACATCAATTGTTCACTGGTACAAAATGCGAAACACTTTTTAAACATACCTTCAGTCTGCTGCATAGTATTTTAAATATACGTCGTATACTTTGAGTACACTCTTTGTATCCGATCTTTTCTGCAGCTGCTGAGTAATTGGGCTACTAAGGTGTGCCAAGTCAAAATACAATTTTTGAAGTAATCATTTTTTTCTAAGTGAAACGAAAATGGTGCATTTCTGATGCATTGCTCTCTGCAAGGAAAAATTGAGAAATGGTGAACCTCCTCTTTTTGTCCGCTCTTTAAAATTTTGTTGTCTCTCCCTTGCCGATGTAGTTTTGGTCGCAACTTAGTTATTTACATTTAGACTAAATTAGACTATGGTCTTTCGTTGCGGCCTTACTCATCATCTCGTTGACGTTATAACATATATTAAAACAATATATACAACACGGGCACTTCACATCATCGTATTCGTTTTGTTAATGTAATGCCCTTCTGGTTTCATCCGATGGTAATATAAGCCTAGCACTTAATACAACATATATTCGATATACTTAAAGGTCTACTTTACTCGTGCACACACACAATTGGTTTGGAAGTTTTATGATATTCGTATTACGCTTACATACACGATAATCATTATATTAACTTAGGGTTGTTGAAACCAAGTGATGACACCTACAAGTTGCGAATATATATTTACAAGGATTCGCTTCGCGTCCTCACTAGAGGTGTCGAAGCATATAGAAGTCAGCAAGTCAAGAGTAATTTGGAGAGCTGAGCTTAAAAACCAGAAAGGGCAGGCAGGCGATTTTTTCATATAAATATATATTAACTTGTGTTGTGTTCTCATTCAAAGATTTATATTTTGAAACATTTTAGAAGAATTATTCCCTTAGGGCAAAGTGAATCAAAAAGACTGAAAACGAAAACAAAACAAAGTATTAAAATCTTTTCATCAAAATATCTGCCCACGCAAACTTTAAACTGTGCTCAACATTCTTTTACCCTTATTTTGAATGGAGCGAGGTTTACAAACACGCACAGCATCGCACTGCAGACCCAGGCACTCAAGTTTAAAGCGTAGAAACATGTGGCCTCATAATTCGCAGGTTAGAGAAACCGCACATTATATGAACGTGTGAAGTCGTTTGAGATGAAGAGGAAACCATAAGGGGGAAACGTAACTGATTTGAACCGATGGCCCAATACACACCCACGACTCGACACGAGCATTCTGTGTCGACACACCCAGTGTCCTCCGTGTATCCGAGAAACGATGTCTTGCCCGCCAAAAAGCTACTCCCAAACCACACACACAAAAAAACATAAAAAGCACAAAATAAAAATAAAAAGAGGAATGCGGCTCGTTGAGTCAACTCTGTGTTGTACGGGGGTCTTGTCCGTTGGAACTCTTCCTTCCCCTGTGATTGCCCTCCTGTCGAAGTTAATCAACGTTAATTGCTTCTCGAAAGGCGGACACCTTGTCAGACCCTTATTTCTTTGTCCTGGAGGCGGTGTCCTTTTAATATTTCACAATCTCCTCGAAAATAGCGGCGGCGGGTCCTTTCCTTTCGTGGGCACCTTGGAAAAGGGCGGTAAGATCGGAGGATTCTAATATTGATGTAAGCTTGCTTTACTTTGGTTTTTGTTTGTTTCAGGCGTAATACGGTGGAGGCTGTGCAGGTTAAGTTGGTGGAGGGAGAGGGGAAGGTGTTTTTTTCTTACGGGTGCTTCCGCATCGCTCGTTTCTTTTTGGTGGAAGAGTGTGATAGTAGGAAAGAAGGTTAGTTGGGGAGGAGGATGGAAGGGGAAGAGTGGTAGTAGGATAAGAGGGGATGGCAGGGCAAGAGGTGTGATGGAGTGAGAGGGAAGCTGGGAACACTTAAGCGTCTGATTGATGGCTGCTCCTCTTTGTGGTTCTGCACGTCGTGAAGATTGATTGGCAACCAGATTGGTTTTCTTGGCGAGCTCGCGTAATTGGGAAGAGGCGAAATGAGGATGAGGTGAGGCGGATTTCCTGCTATTTTACGGCGAGGTTCAGGCGATAAAATAAAAGGGGGTTGCGTTGGTTAGGTCGGCTTAGGCGATGGGGGAGAGCCTAGCAGAAAGGGTTCGCCTTGGTCCATCCGGGATATTTCGTCACAAATTTTTCCATTAATCGAAGAAGGCGGACGTTTAGGTTATCTCTCTAAGTTTTCACAAGATAAAATGCAAATGTTTTTCTCAAAAAACTTCAATTTTTTTCTACGCACATCAAAAACGAGGTCGAGCAATCAAATCAAACTGTGTTTTGTTCTGCATCAACTCATTGAACGGTTTTCGGGGCATTGTGCAAAATAACGCCCAGCCAAATAGAAGAAAAGAAAACAATGCGCGATCCAAGCAATGACGCCGTAGAAGCCGTTCAAGTTTACATTGACCGTGGCTTTCTTTGTCACTTTTCTTTCATGTAGTTTAGTTTGTACCACGTCATACTATTGTGCAAAGCTTCTCCTGGTGAGTGGACTGCGGAAAGCGGCATTAATCTCTTCTGAATGGCCATGCCAAAGCCTATATTTCAATGCGCTATCACCGAAATATTAAAAACACACGACTCGGATTGGTTTTGCTTTGACGATTTGTAACAAGCAAAGATAAATTGCTAAGTGAGCCTGTCCAATAGTGTACTTTTGTATTTGAAAGAGCGTAGAAATCGACACCTTTTTTTTTAAGTTCAGCACTTTAAGCTACCGTTAAGACTACAACATTTATTATTTTTTAATTTTATTTTACTCTCCGATTGCTATAATGGTGGATGTTAAACCACCGTGGCGGTGGGTAAGATCACGTTAAACAGGAAGACGTCGTGTTTTTTTTTATCACAACACGCTTAGTTACGAGTGTTGGTTGTCGCTCCACGGTCACTACTGCAAAAATTGTTTCCAACGCGCCTCTTTAACGTGGTTGCTTGCGTCGATCAATAAATAACGGCGTGTTCAAGTTCATTTTTTTTTCTTAGCAATTGATTAGCTTGAGCGTCTTAGTCTTCTCTAGCCCGAATTCTACGATCCATCCGAGCCAATAAAGTGCTGCAAGCGTATCGTTTAACTTCACAGTCCGCTTGTCACTGCTGGAAGAGGACACGCCACTCGACGCTTTCTCTGCGTTGAATGGGCCCTCACTGCTCTCAACGATTGCTGCTGTCAGTGAGAGAGAGTGCACCACACCATGACGTCTAGTGGTCCGTTGGAACTTCCGGTAGCTGTTTGTTGCGTCACGTGCCAACATGACGTCAGTTGATTCTAAATGGCTGCCCAAATTTAGACGATAAATATATCCCCTAATTTTAAGGGAAAACATTCTGCCGTCGTGTTGCACATCGTCACTTGACGCTGTGGCGACATTATCACTACGCATACGGTTGCCGCCTCAGTTCAGCGGAAACGTGTCTCCGCTACATTTAGCGGGTCACGACGTACCCGTTGCACACGCGAAATCCGCTGTGAAACATTGCAAGTAACGGCTGACGCCGTAGCACGTCGCTTAAGTAGGCATTCACAACTTGCATTCTTATTTGTTTCCAACCACGGCGGAGTAACAAGTACAAGTCGTGGGTTCTTACGAGCCGATTGGTAAACGCCACATTTTGACGAAAAAAAAAAAAACTTACCGCCTTTCCACTCTGGTGAAGAAGGAACACCAGCGAGGCTGTGGACGACCTCAAGGAGGACTTCTTGGACAACCTCAAGGACGACGTCTAGAAGACGACCTCAAGAACGACGTCTAGGATGACCTCAAGTACGACTTCTAAAACAACCTCAAGTACGACTTCTAAATCGACCTCGACGACGACGCGTCTAGGACGACCTGAAAGATGACCTCATGGACTACCTCGTGAACATCCTCAAGGACGACGCGTAGGACGGCCTCAAGGACGACCTCGAGGACGACGTGCCTAGAGAAATTCAGCCTTACTACTTCAGTGAAAACCAGATTGGAAAGGCTGGAAAGGTTGCCGCCATCTGTAATCGACGGCGGTTGCTCTTCAAAGTGTTGTGTCGACCTTTATTTGTTGGCGGACACGAAACTGGGGAAACTAGCCCTTAAGAGCTCCGCTGTAAAAATAAAGCGGACGAAAATGTCTTTCCTGTATATTTTTGGCCTTTATGTAGATATATATATATTTTTTTTTATTGTAAGAGCTGAAGGGACATACCGTTTTGTCGCCCAGGTTGTTGACGATGCAGTGGAGGTAGGCCGTCTGTCCTAACTGAGAGGTGACGTTTCTTGACGTGGTGTTGTCAAAGGACGGGAACAGGCGACTCGTCGGCGGCCACAGCTCCTCGGAGAGCCGGGAACTGTCGGCGTCCTCCACGACCGACTTGCGCTGCCGGTCGCCAACAGAGGCCACCTCGGACACTCGACGGAGGGGCGTCGGGAGCAAGGAGGACTCGAGCAGCTTGGACGAATCTGAAACGTCGTAAGGGTACCTCACGTTAGACTATGGACAAAATCGGAGGATGTCGGAATGGCTGCCTCAGAAAAAAGCATAATCGTGAAACGATACTCTTGTCACACTTTTATGAAACAGAGAGATACTATTCGGGCGTCACCCATGTGAAACGTTCCTTTGTTTACTCTTAACGCCTGAAGAATGTTTAAAAACAATTGATTATACTTTTTTTTGGTAGTGCACGGTGTCCGCGTATAAGTCTAATGCTGCCAATTTACGGTTGCTCGCTCAAAATATTATATTATACACTATTAGCAACCTAAATATACTTGAGGTACACTCTGAAACACTCGGCTACTTGGTTAAAATGGTGGAAATTAAGTATTTATTTTGTACTGAATTAATAGTTGGAACTGGATGCACGGTTAATTCTTCTCATAGTGGAAAACTGAAACATTTCTTTAAAATTATGAGTTAAAGTGGATATCTGCTTTTTAAATTTCTATTTGTTAAACCGAATTAGCAACGCACTACGTTAATTTGCAGCTTCAGTCAGTTACTTTTTCTTTAAATAAAATCTCCTCAAAAGCCTTTCATCGCCTTATCCCAGCTTTGCATGATTTCACAAATGCTAACACTCGCACCAAGGATACACAAGGCGTAGCTGGTTCGGTCGTGGCGCCGCATTTGCGTACAAAAACCGCCCGTGAGACGCGCCGTAATTGCGCGGCCGTGTCAGTGAGAGGAAACCCGGATTTTTGCGGCTAAGCCGTCCTGCAGGCCATCCCGTTGGGCAATTCTATCGGAAAATGTGTTGGGCAATCTGTCGAACCCACTCTTGCGAGGCGAGCTTGAGCGCAGCTCCGTGCCAGGGTTGTAACCGCAGGCTTGTTTACGGGCGGCCCTTATCCCCTGAGCGCCTACCGTACTGACGTTGTTGCTACTGCGACCGGCAGGCTGACACGCTGGTGTCACTTTCAGGGTTGCCTTCGTTAGGCTCAGGGGCATCCACGCCTGCTTTCGCGGACGGCTGCGAGGGCTACGCTGTCTCGACACTGCGGGCCGCCGGCGTCGTAATTGCGTCGACGTTGCCTTGCGAAACCGTCTTTTCGCCGCCTGACCTTATCGCGAGTTTCCTTAAGAGCGCCATGAGTACACCAGAGATGAACGAGGTTCCGATAGAGGTGACGATCTAGGTGCTCCCAGCCCATTTCGTCTGCTCAGTGAAAGGAAAGCTGACTTCAAATTAGCATGTAAGTCAGACAGTTGTACTTCATATATGAACCACTTTATACACCTTTCCAGCTTTTATCACCCGAGGGAAAAAAACTCAATCACAGGGCCGTCGACGTATTGAGGTATACCAAGTATGAATGTTAGGTGAAACGTCATATGATTGGGCATACCAGTGTAGCTCAAAATTACCCAAATTCCCTTTACAATTGCGCAGTTAACTGTAGCAGCTTAAAACTATATGCTCGTCTTACCAGCTTAAGCGGCACTGTATACGAAGACAACCAAAAATGAGCATTTCTATTGTAGTAAACGCACGCTGCCTTCGAACCAAATTTGTGTTCGTTTTGGCTGTAAGACAGCGTCTTTCGCAACAGCCATAGTTTTCTCTTACGCCACATAGACTTATGTCGCAAAAGTCTTTTTTTTTTTGGAAGGAATGTTGGTTAGCACTTAATAAAAGGTGCAATGAGTCACAAACGTAACGTAATCCCATGCTACAAACACGTTTGAATTGACATTACCGAAGCCTGGAAGTTACCATTGCAACAAATCAATAGCGCCACAACTGTTCGATGTCTACTTGACCGTGTAAACATGTGGGGCACTGGTGGTTTTCTTTAACAAATCCAGCGACGTGAAATAGTATGCTGAACAAAACGGAGACAGGTTACAGCAAACTGATATGAATAATAGCATTAAATAGTTTACATTGTCTCTTTTACGAAATAAGGTGTGTGCAGTGGTAACAATTCTAGACGTGCCTTTATTGGTTCCCGCTAATATTGATTATATTGTCTAACTGACCATAAAACGCCTTATCTGTCATAGAAGTTTGAAAACCCTTTATTTTATGCTTTCTTCAATATCAGTCTCGCTTTCTTCGTCGGGATTAAAAACGAATCGAGAGAATATTAAGTCACCGTTGCGTGGGCACGAATTTCCGCGTAAACCATAAAACGTGCCCGTCAAGGTTCGGAAGAGATTTCGTACCTCGTTTGGCGGGTTGGGGCCTGAAGATAAAACACGGACAACTAAACGGGCAAGGCATAATGACGTGCAAACAAAGTATACGACCAACGGGGCCGAGGGGTTTCCACAAAAAACGTATTGCTCTTTTCACTGGGTCCGCTGCAAAGCATTAGCCCAGGGGATTAGCTTCCCGAAAAGCTCATTTATAGGCTTTATAACCCGGCCACTAAGCTGAACCATATGAGGACAAACACGACGCAAGAGCATCAACCCAGCCGCATAGCGTGGAATCAAAAAGAAAAAATGCTGGGATAAATAAAATGTCTCCAATCCCACCTTAGAAATATGGCTTTCAACGATAAATATTGTTTATCCAAGTATAGACACCTCTCCAGTTATGCTGTGCTATTGTTTCCTTCTCATTCTGAATTAGAATCAATGATGTGAAATAAGACAAAATGTATTTGCGATCGTCGGAATTGAAAGATTTGTTGTTCTTTTTAATTTAAATTAACTATTTTTACATCGAATAAAGTTACTAAGCGAAGCTTAAACCATGACCAATTAATAAATATGTTTAGGCTAAATTACAAAATTAATGAGGTGAGTGCCAACAAATTAAATTGGAATAAGTTATAATTTATCTAAGATATTACGAAATAGGTATATCCAGAAACAGGCAAAGATTGTGCTTCTGTCCGCCATTTTGTTGTACTAATTCTTTCTTAATATCCTAAAGAAAACCAATGGGTGTGTTTGGATTATGTATTAACATTTTGCTATATTACTTTCGCTATTCCATTCAACATTTTAATGTAAACTGGAGAACTAAAAATGCCGTATAAAATATGAGTAAACACGTACCTGTAAGAAAAAGCCATGCTCTTGTAAGATTAATCTTTATAGTAAAACAAAAAAAACAAAAAAAAGATCCGACAGAAAAAAAATATTTTTGGAAGACTATGCCCTAGATATACAATTCCGAAAACATGCAACATACCATATATAGTTCAGCTTTTCTTTTTTCTTGGAATTGAATATTACGGACAAAAAGGTCACAGTCATAGTTGCTTTCTTTTCCTAAGTCTCGAAACTGCAGTATTTTATTGATATTGACCAATTCCCACGTTGTTTTATTTCATTATCTTGCTTTAGAACAAGACATTCTTGCATCATGTGAACACACGGTGCCGGTGTGGCAATATCGAAGCATGTTGTAAATTGTCTGCGGCACTAAAGGAGCGTCGCTGTGGTTTTGTTTGTTTCAGTGTCTAATAAATTTCTCGTAATTTGAGGTTGTTTCTTGCTTTTTACATCACACTGGTTGTTATCAGGACTACGTTACAAGGGTGCTAGTAAATCGGGTATTTTTATTTTGAGGAACAATAAATCTATTCATTTTACATGATCGTACTTTACTTTCTCGAAATAATTTCGTTCATACTGTTGGGTCACTCTCGTTCATATTTATTGGCTCACCTTAGTCAACCTCAGAACCAGCTGTCGGAATGCCTCTCAACGTTCGCCAGGACGACATCGAAGTTATTGTATTCTTCGTCTGCCTGCTCACGCATCCCCTCCCCCCCCCCCCCCCCCTCCCTTATATAAAAAAGGGCAGTCATCAGTTGGATGAACATTTTCACACAATTCACATGCGCTGGAAATGCCTTGCGATCCTGTAAAGTTCACCAATCTTGTGATTCATAGGTTAAGGGCCGAACTTTCCTGCTGACCTCACAGGGCGCCCCTGCATCTAGGCAGAAGCTTCCGCGCTCTACTTCTCCTCCGTTGTTGCCTGCGAACAAGGACCTAGTTGCTCGTAGATAGACATGGAGCGGAGCCAGGAGGACTGTGGCGAGATACGCCACGCTGCTGGGCGTGTAATATTGCCATTCTTAATAGTTCACGTGCGTCATTCAGTCGGCGTTGCAAATCATTGCCGGCGAAATGTTTCCCCTTGTTCCGTCGGGTTAAGGATGATAAACATTCCTAAGAGAAGCACTGCCGTTTCACCATGATAAATTTGAAACGGTGCATAAATTGTGCTCGACTGATTCGTGGTAGTAATTGCGAAAGCAGTGTAAGAGACAAACGTATCCCAATGTGTGTGCTTGACTTTTAAGGAACGAATAAATAGCTACGGAAATTGTTCCGTTTGATCTTTCAACCAAACCATTTGTCTATGGTCGACAGGGGGCGGCTTTAACGTGGGTGATGTCTTGAGACTATAGCTCTTGTGCAATCATGGAAGATGTAAAAGCTGCAACTCGATCAGTGATTATCATCCGTGGAAATCAGCGTTGCAGAAAAAGTTGTGTTCTAAGGAACCGCGCAACGTCTTCAGCGAGGTACTACAGGCATAACTCTAGTTGTTTGGTAAGATTATGCACTGTCACAAGAACGAAGCAGTTAGGATCATCCGCCGGAGAAAAACGTCCGAGATGGTCGATCCTTCACATCTTGAACTTAACTTTTGATGGTGTAATGGAACGAACTTCAAATGGCTCGGTTTTACTAAGCGGCTTGAGTTTCTGACGTTGCAAGCAAAATGATAAATAGTTTGCTACGTCTTTTAAATGCCCGGACTACAACTACCTCTTCAACATTATCTGCCAATTTTGAGTCGCTGTCTAGATGCCCCATAGTAGGGTCGTCGTGGCGAGGGGACCGCTCCGCGTAGGAAAGGGACGACGGGCATCTCGCACTACTAGGTCTGAGATGACAAAGCTACCCCATGTGGTACGCTCTACGTAGGAGATGAGACGCAGGAGGGGCATCATACGCTTGTAGTTTAGAGATAATGTCTCGGATTTCCAAATCTCGCTCCTGGCCACCGTTCAGATTAAATGTTGTCGAACAAAATCAGGCGTCGTGGTATGGAGAATCCGGCATGTTCTTCAGTGGATGAAAGGATAGAAAGATGAGCTACGAGTCCTGGAGCCTTATCTCTTTTGGAAATTCGTGTCGTCCTTTCCTGTCTCCCCACACTCCAGAGTTAAAAGACGTCAGTACTTTACCAGCTTGCCTGCATCCTTACATTAACTCCATAGAGTCGCGAAGCTTAAACGAAATCATCCGGACGACGCTTTACGTGGAGTGTCTACTGAGACGAACGATGACACCTTAAGTTGCCGAGGTCCCGCTATCCAAGCTATCCAACTTGACGAGAAAAAAAAGCAGTCTTGTATTGATATAGAGCAATATCACAATGATAGCTGCGACATGACACAGCGAGGCCGTTGGGCGTCAAATTTGGGTACACGCGCCATCGGATGCGTTAACAATTATGTTCGTAACGAAATGGACATCTGAACATTTTGTTCCGAAGGTATCTCATTTTTTCTTTTGTCTAGGAGCGCATGAAAGCGCGTCTCTTTGCATCATCTCTTGACATTAAACGTGCTACAACAGCATTTTGCTCTGGGCTATTTTTTATCCCAGAGAGCGCGTGCAGGGGGGGGGGGGGGCATCAGGTTCTACAAAAACGCTAAGTATAGAGCAAGCTGTTACCGCTGCGGCGTAAAAGACTGCTTCACACAGACACGTTTTCTTACGTTACGTTGCGTTACGTTATGTTACGTTACGAAAGCTTATGTCAAACTTACCGGGAAATTTGTGCTTCGTACTAAGCGTGGCTAACAATTCAAGGAGATAGCCTGGCAGGCGGCATTCGAGACACGAATGTTTTGGTGACGATGAGCTAGGACGGTGAGTTACCGTATCAACCAAGGACACAAAACTCCTTGTAACGTAACGTAGCGAGTTGAGCTCGGTTCAATTGTTCGCACAGCAACGTTTTTTAGGTTACGTCTAAGTCACCAAAACATTCGTGTCGTGAACGTTGCGTGCCAGGTATACCTCTTAGAATTGGTAGCCACTCTTGATATGAAGCACAGATATCCCGGCGGCTTGTACGTAAGCTTGCGTAACGTAGCGTGAGGAATCGGGGTGAACTAGCCTTTACTCTGTGGTAACGCCTCTGCTTCGCACGCAGCCGATCTAGTTTTGATTTCGGCTGGCGGCGGGCGATCTTTTAAAGCGCTTGGCCACATCAACGAAGGACACCCTCTGCCCTTCTACGCCAACTACAACATCAACGACGACGAGAACTACAACTACACGATTACATAATCAACTGACGTCATTTGCAGTGGTGGGAAAAGCCCATAACGCCTGTGGCTATAAACGCGTCGTAAAGCACTGATTTTTGAACCGGGGGAAACCGTCATGGTTCAGTGCGAACCGACAGCTGCTGGAAAATTCCTCAAGTTGCTGGTGAAGTACAAGGGATCATATGTTGTTACGAAGCGACGTCCTATTTGGTGCAGTACTTGCAGATGCTTTCAACAAATATTTTGTTAATATTGTCAATAACACCGTAACGAACATTCCGTCCAACCCAAATTCTATTTTTCTTAACCTTGTAAATGAACAAGAAGTTATTACTACAATTATAAATATTTCAAGAAGTAGCATGGCTAAGGAGGGTGATCGGTTTCGGATAAAACAAATTAGGCGCACTGCCGACCGGCTTGCACTTTAGATAAGGCATATATTTAGCCTTTGCCTTAGTCAGGCTTTTCTTCCTCGAAGAATCCAGATGCCCAAATAAATGTTTGTGTTAGGTGGTAAAATTGGCATGGGAAACTACCGGCGCTTGTCAAAACTTCCAACATAACCCCCTATATGATTTCCAATTCGGTTTCCGTAAAGGAGTCGGTAAAGCGGCCACTTTGTTTGCGCAGAGAGAACTAATCTTGAGTGCACATTAGGAAAGAAAATTGGTTCTTGGTATCTTCGCCGATTTAACTAAAGCATGTGATCATGTAAATCATACGCTGATAGTTAATACATCTTCAAAGTTATGGTGTCTGTGCGAAAGCTGCATCCTTAATCCCGTCTTATCTACATCATCATATACAGACAGTCCATATTGACGATCATTTCTCCGATTCGCTTTTTGTGTCTTGCGGCGTACCACAGGGAAGTATTCTGGGTCCGTTTCTGATCAACATGTATGTAAATTACATCGTCTTTGTTCGATGAGATGTTAATATGATTATTTACGCCGACGATGATAGCATATTTATAATCGGAAATGTATCTAATAAAATAGGCAATAAAGCAAATTTATTGTTACAAAACTAGACAAATGGACGTGAAATAAAAACAAAAGTGTCTTATTTTGTAGCAAAAATACAATTGTTAAATCAGACAATAGGGCTAAATTCGACTCCCATTGCAGTTATATCTGGTTTTAAGGTTCACGGCGTTGTTTTTCAAGAGACTTTGCCGTGGGATACAGATAGTGATTCCGTAGCCCTAAACTGTCCCAAATAGTCAGACATGTATATCGTAATCGACAAATACTACCATTAAATATTATGTTGTTAATTTATAACTTTGTTTTTATTTATGCTTAACTACTGTCATTTAGTCTGCGTATCCACAACTCGAGCAAATCTACTTAAAATGCATATCTTAAGAAACGGTTCCTAAGAGTTGTTGAAAATATTCCGTCTAACTTTCACTCACATGAGGGCTTTCTAAAATATAATGTATTACCAATCCAAACAAATGTGCAGCTATCGGCTTTATAAAGCATTTAAAAATTATGTCAAAACTGAATCATTATTTTTAAAAACCTAGCTAACTTACAAAGTAATACCACAGCCAGTAATACCACACCACGGCATAGTGAGCCTTTGAAAGTTAGCACTCGTAGAACAATCAATGGGCAAGGTACGTTGAAAAACAAACTTGCACGATTAATCATTATATTAGCTGCCGAAAATATTCATTTTTAAGATATCGCATTTAAATTGTTGCGTTGTTATTTCAACCCCGAGTCGACATTTCTTATGTAAAAAGTGCTGTGTAATGATACTACTAAACTTTGTGAGTCGTTGTGCCTGTACGCGATCTTGTTTTTTCTTGTTTATTCCTTTGCAGGTATCCTTCGTGAGCGTGATTGTGACGTAATTTGACTGTGCTAATTGTTGCTTCTTTATTTTTTTTTTTCTATTAATGCTGTAAACTGTAAGGTATGTTTCTTATTTTGTTTA